CGTTATACAAGAACATCGTAGAATTCTATTGCAGAAGAGGACCATCGTGAAAGATCATCACAGAACTTTATCACAAAAAGGATCATCGCGGAATTTCATCACAGAAGATCATCGTGGGACCTTGTTGCAGAAGAGGATTACATCATGGGATTTTATCACAAGAGGATCACGAGATTTCATCATACAAGACCATAGAATTCTATTGCAGAAGAGGACCATCGTGAAAGATCATCACAGAACTTTATCACAAAAAGGATCATCGCTGAATTTCATCACAGAAGATCATCGTGGGACCTTGTTGCAGAAGAGGATTACATCACGAGATTCTGTCGCAGAAGAGGATCATCACGGGATTTCATCGCAGATCGTCGTGGGATCTTGAAGCAGAAGACGATCACATCACGGAATTCTGTCGCGGAAGAGGATCATCACCGAATTTCGTTATACAAGATCATCGTAGAATTCTATTGCAGAAGAGGACCATCGTGAAAGATCATCATAGAACTTTATCATAAAAAGAATCATTGCGGAATTTCATCACAGAAGATCATCGTGGGACCTTGTTGCAGAAGAGGATCACATCATGGGATTTTATCACAAGAGGATCATCACGGTATTTCGTCATACAGGATCATCATAGAATTCCATTGCAGAAGAGAATCATCGTGAAAAGTCATCATAAAAGAATCATCGCGGGATTTCATCGCAGATCATCGTGGGATCTTGAAGCAGAAGACGATCACATTATGGGATTCTGTCGCAGAAGAGGATCATCACCGAATTTCGTTATACAAGATCATCGTAGAATTCTATTGCAGAAGAGGACCATCGTGAAAGATCATCACAGAACTTTATCACAAAAAGGATCATCGCGGAATTTCATCACAGAAGATCATCACAGAAGATCATCATCACAGAAGATCATCACAGAAGATCATCATCACAGAAGATCATCACAGAAGATCATCATCACAGAAGATCATCACAGAAGATCATCATCACAGAAGATCATCACAGAAGATCATCACAGAAGATCATCACAGAAGATCATCGTGGGACCTTGTTGCAGAAGAGGATCACATCACGGGATTCTGTCGCAGAAGAGGATCATCACCGAATTTCGTTATACA